GATAGATAGATAGATAGATAGATAGATAGATAGATAGATAGATAGATAGATAGATAGATATAGATTTTTCCAAGTCCAGAGCACCACAATTGTCCCTCCAGTTTGGTTTGACTAAAGTTGAATGAGCTCTATAGAACTGTATCAGCAACTCTTGCGACAGTCTGAACTTTCTGAGTTGATGCAGGAAGAGAATTCTTTGTTGGGCCTTTTTAATGATGGTTTTAATGATAGGTGTCCATTTCAAATCCTGGGAGACAATAGAATCCAGAAATTTGAAGGTCCCTACTGTTGATACTGTTATCTAATATAGTAAGACGTGGTAGAATAGGAGGGCTCCTCCTAAAATCCACTCATTTCTACAGCTTTAAGCATGTTCAGCTCCAGATTGTTCCGGCTGCACCACGGGGCCAGTTGTGCAACCTCCCGACTACATGCAAGCTCATCACCGTCTTGAATGAAATCAATGACTATTGTATCATCAGGATAGGTTTTTTTTTACTCTTTTGTAATATACATGTTACAATCACAAAAGATATACATTCTTTAAGAAATGACAAAAATATATTGATAAATGAAATCAGTCCATATTTTTATTAGCCATCATATAAAACAAAACACATCTCAAATACCGTATAGTTTTATTTAATAGATTGTAATGAAGTCTACTGTACTTCAAGAGCTATTTAGAAGTTACCACTAGATGGCATTCAGTATCTTTGGTTAAGGATAATTTATAAAGGTAGCCCTAACCTTTGTTGAATTTTTGTCTCAATTAAGTTTTTGTTTGGGTAAACCCAAGCCTCCCTTAAAGCAGGTACTAATCATTTGTTGAGTATCCACCAATAAATATTGTGCTTCATTGCAAACCTGTGGTGGAAAAACAATTGTCCTTTAGTTTAACTAGAATACAAACATATTAATTCATAGTGACAAATCCACAGAGAATAAAACATTCAAAATACACATTCACACTTTGATTTAACCATTGTTTATTGAATAAATTAAACTGGCTGGTTTACCTAATTGTCATAATTCATGGTTTGCCACCCTAAAGGCAGGGGCCAACAACAGATAAGTCCAAACCAAGAGAATCAATTATGGATTTGTAAGATATATATGTCAGGGAAATGATACCACAAAAGTGCTATTACATTTGTATCCAGTTTCTGGGGTTGCCTTTGTCAAGCAAAAGGAAAAAAACAAGGCAGGCAGAAGAGCTATTGAAGTCATCAGGCTCATCCTCCTGGTAACAGCAGAAATCAAATTGAAGCATCTCTGAATTGGCTATCCAATTTATTGGATAAAATTTAGTTATCAATGAGGATCTCATACAATTGAGACTTTGCTCTACTGTCACCTATTTTTGAAGTGTAGCTTCTCCATATTCCCTTTAAGGCCAAATGCAACTCTCAGCTGAAAATATGTATGTACTCCTGTCCTACCTAGTATGAAAACAAAATCTTTCACGCTATATTCTTCAGAATGGTGGTATTTTGTGAAACAGTAATAGGTTTTTCAAACAGAAGAACAGTAATTAAAAGAAGCCTCTGTCCTCTTTTCCAATGCATAAGCATAAATACATTTTGGAAATTAGAGATCACATTTTTAATTCATTAAAAACTGAAGATTAAAAGGTGTCCCACAAATGAAAAGTGAAACTTAACTCTGTATTAAAATGCTCCTTAAATATACAGACAATATGTATAAATTGTTCAATAATATGTTGGTAGAAACCACCATAGAAAGTATTTCCTCAGCTAAGAAAAAACATGAAAAATGTCCATGGAAAAATCTCATAATATTCAGATCCAAACTGAACCAATGTTAAGTATGAGGTGTCAAAATATGGATATCAAATGCAACAGTATTCG